GGAGAAGAACTTAATCCGTTTACTGGGAGAAGAGAATAGAAGGCGATAGGGGCTTATGGCCAAGAAAAGTATTTACGTCCTTTCGAGGGTCAGGCGGAGTGGTCGCAGTGCGACCTCCTCCTCCTCCTCCTCCTCCGCCTGTCCAGCATTCCAAGTCGGTGTGAGGTGTAAACCAAGTCAAACCATGAAGACAACAATTTGTAGAAGCATAAAAATCAGCTCCAAACCGACTCATTATTTTTTCTTTGTTTTTTTGTTAAGTGTGTGTTTCACCACTGCACATCTCTCGGATTGAACGGCACACGCACCTCCTGAAAGGTGTCAAGCGAAGACCCAAAAAAAGCCCCCACAAGTACAAAAATCCTAGCAAATCCCGTCAACTTCATTGAGTGGCAATAAGACAAAGTTGTTTGTTTATTTTTCTTTACCTCTCTTTCTAACTGGTCTACTTGAAGGCTCCATGAAAATTTCAAATAAAAGCCCTGACACCACACAGCGGTGCATAATAGCATTTACAAGGGGCAAAAAAAGCAAAAAAAAATTGCTACACCAGAGAGGGACAAATTGACTTCAGCGGTTATCAAAGAGTTGCATTTGCTTACACCCCATGTGCATCCAGAAAACCTGCGGTCAGGCAGTGTGAGACACATCTGAGGCCAAGCTACTGTCAAAATTGACCCATGTGGCTAATATAAAACCGGAGAGGAGGGCTGTGGTGACAGCGCTGTGAATTTTTGCCTAAACGTGGCATTGGTCATGCAGAGCTACGGTTCGGATAACAAAGCTGTCATTAAGAATGCAGACATGAGTGAGGAGATGCAACAACGAGCTGTTGACTGTGCTCAAGAGGCGATGTCGAGGTACAACATTGAGAAGGACATCGCTGCGTACATTAAAAAGGAGTTTGACAAGATGTACAATCCAACATGGCATTGCATTGTTGGACGCAATTTTGGCAGGTGAGACAGGTTAAGTACTGTCATTATTATTTTATTTATTTTTTTTTTTTAAACTGGTACGAGCGGGTGACACTGTGATTGCAATTTCCCTTCAGCTACGTGACTCACGAGACCAAACACTTCATCTACTACTACATGGGTCAGGTGGCCATTTTGCTCTTCAAGTCGGGATAGACGCCGTTTGTCTCAAAAAAATCCTACTACTAATAGTAATTTCATTAAATATCAAATGAAATTTGATTTTGTCATAATAGTTTCTCTATTTTGTTTTAAAAAAATAATAAATGAAACTTGTCAAGTGGATCGACTATTTGCTACGTTTAATAAAGTAGGATTTTCGAGGCAGTCGCTTGGGCGACAACACCTGTAATTTGCGCCGCTGCCCCTTTTCCTCCCCCCTCCCCTTGCCCCGCCCCCCGCCCCACAAGCCAACTTTTGACTGCTATTCGAGGGGAAACAGACGCCAAGTGACAGTCGGTTGTCAATGCCAGATCAACACGATGATTGGACAGGGTGATGATTTGGAAGAGGCTGGAAAAGAACTGCAGGGCGCAACAGGGCAGAGCAGTGCTGAAGGACAGGCCTTCAGTGGGGTACGAAAAACCCGATCAACTTAGCCTTTCCCGTGTGTGCATGTGCGTAGGGAGGGTGGAGCGCAGTTTCAAGACTAAATTGATGCATTACTTGACCTACTTGGGTGGTGGGAGACCAAAGTTGCACCCATCATTGAGACTTCACCATTAACCGAGTGGAGAAGGTGTCAGACTCAAATCTCACTCAGAGGCGGGAGATCGGGCTTGACTTTGGAATTTTGGCTTAACGCCTTTCCATTGCATTGACATGGAGAGGCTTTAAAACGCCTCAACAATCCTGCAAAACCCTCACACCTACACTCTGTGTGTCCTCCTTTGTCTGGCTGATATTTGAAGAACAAAAAAAAACAAAAAACTTCTACCACTCAGAGTGGTCAGTCGCAGACAAGGCAAACAATGTTTAACAGCATTGCTTCCCTGTCTGTCACAGCTAATCCACTGAGTCCAAGAAGCAAACGAGTTGAAATGTCTGTTTTGACTATTTTTTTTTAAAAATCTCGTGGAGATTTCATTTCCACAAAGCGTCACTACGCAGATTGTGCTTTTTATGCAACCTTCTTTACACACCTTGCTTGTATATTTTGTGTGAAGTTTAGCAGCTTGGCTGCAAGGTTAACGTCGAGTCACAACCAGACGCATTCCAATCACAATAATGAGGTTGGGGCAGAAGTTTAAGGGACCCAGTAAGCAAAGCTGTGTCAACAGGCTCACACATGCCTATTCAAGCATAACTTTACACGATATGCAACCCACACGTTCCACCCACAAATTGCGCCAAGCAGCTGCATCAATGCAAGCCAAAACACTAACGCCTCATTGTTGAATAGCAGCGGCATCGATAAATTTGCTAGAAAAATATATAAATAAGTAAATATATCTGTTTTATTGCAGTCCTGGTATTAAGGGGTCTCACATGTAGGAGAAGGCAATAGTAAATGAAATGAGAGGAGGAAGGTCATTGAAAGCAGAGTGATCTGGCTACCATCTCTCTCGTTAAAATTAATGTGTTGTGAATGTAATATTACATTAGAAAGTATCTAGGCGCTTCGTTGACAAAAAAATAGCATAAAAAATTTTGTTCCTTTTCGATTCCCTCGCCTCAGTGATGCAAGACTTGAACTAGTCTTAAAGAGTAGAGAAAATTAATCATACTTGGGGAGAAGAGGACCTTTAATAGATCGCCATCTCTTGCTTAGCATGAAATTCGACGCAATGAAAGCCGAAGAGGAACAATTCCCAAAAAACATCAACACGATTTATGAGTAAGCAATAAAAGAAGGGATGCTGCATAGATAGCACACAATTTGTAATTATACAAAATGTTCTACTAAATTTAAATAAGTAGAAATACAAAACGCCGCCAAATTACTGGAGAAAATGAAAACTGCAACGCAGTAAAATTGCTGGAAAAGTGAAAGCAAAAAGCCTCAAACTGACTGTAAATACGTCAAGAGAGAATGCAAATTTTGCTGCTTAAGGGATGCACCATGCTGCAATTACGCATCCATAGTAGTTCAAACACCATTTGACTGATAGAAAAAGTGCATTTATTTTTAAGGAAACACATTTCGACAAAGCACAACCTAAAAGTCTTATAACATCTTGATGCGATGCTAACAATGTATAATATAGTCGCACTTATCACTCAATTTACCCAATTTGAGGTCAGTGAAAACTCATTTGAGCATAGGGAATAGACATGTGCTCAACGCTAGGAGGGAAGAGGATGTAAAGCTATGTCAAAGGCGCATATGATGCCTCACACCGTGTTACTTAAACTCAGCAATAATGCACGGCAGTGAACTAATCATACACACATGTGTATACACGCACACTTACTCCACTTGACAATTGAGGCTAGGCTACTGAAGCAGCCG